AGATGGCGGATAATGCGTTAACACAAATTTGTGCAGACATTTTATTTTTATAATAGAAAGATAGTTATATTCGAAATTCTAAATCATTTTTCGGAAAAAAGGGATATAAATGACAGATTTTACAAATTGTATGTTTATATGGAAAACAAAACTCTCTAAGATGTATTTTTAATGCTAGCAGTCTTATACAGAATTCAAAACAAAAATAATAAATCTTATTTTTCTTACATTTATATTTTAAAGTCATTTTGAATATTTAAATTCGCAACAATACTTTAAAAACGGAACATTTTTTAAGGGAAAATCCACAATGTGATATTCAGATCTCTTGTTCATATAATTTTTTATCGTAAGATAAATATAATTTAGAACTTTAATTCCTCAATAAAATTCACACATTCAATTTATATACTTTTAATATTTTAAAGATTTTTATAATTTATTTTAATTTTAAAATTATAAATATAAATAGATTTCTATAAAATTTACGAATTCCGTAAAATGATGAAACTGGGTATCTTACTTTAATTAGAAAAAACATAGAGTAGGCACAGTTATATAACATTAAAATTCAAAATAAAATGAGAAATATGAAAATCATTATATTTTTCCTTTTTTTTATATTTGTAAAATTTTTTTGCTAGAGGCAATTAAATTGCATTAGTAAACAAGAGTGAAATTTCTTGATATTCAAATTGTACAAATTTTTTTAGACTTTTTTTATTTTCGCTAAGAATCACAGTATCTGGCGAAATCTAAAATACATTTTCTGTTAATTGCTAAAACCCGAATACAATTTTTATAGCTGTGGTTGTGTGTGTGTGGTTAATAATGAAATGTTTTACTTGATTATATATTACATAGTATTTACGCTATGGCATTTTTAATTAAAATATTGCGAATGATATTATTAATAAAATATACACATGCAGGAATGTCATTTTTCTAATAAGCATTATAACCTTAAAACCATTAATTTCATAGTCTCAATATCCATTGCTTTTATAATTAAAATACCTCTTTTCGTTTGAAAAAGTAAATAAATAATTATTTGAATGCAAACAAGGGATTGGGAAACCAGATAATATACTGCATAAAGATTTAGTCAGCTCCATTTGCTTAGAGGTAGCGTGCCCGCTACCTACAGCTAAGGCTATAAATTCGACACCGACTGGAGTCGATAGATTTTCTGTATGTGAAAATCATAAGCACACATGCCATATGTTGTATATAAAAGATACCTTGAGTATCAATTTGAACACTTGAATTAAAAACAATTCAAGCGTCTAAATTTGCTAACGAGACCACCACCAGATGGCGCCACTCTGAAATGGACCACGCACTTCAGAATTTGCCGTTTATACAAATGCTATTTCTCAAGGTTGCAGCCCTATTGGTAGAATATATATATATATATATATATATATATATATATATATATATATATATATATATATATATATATATATATATATATATATATATATAAGTTTGTATGTTATGTTAATTAAACATGCATTGTTACGTTTAAACTGCGTGTGCCATAATCCCTAACATTTTATCATGGATTTTACAATTGCAGACTTTTTGCAGATGCGACAAGGCCCCAGATGGGAGAGAAATGACATGCATGTATATGATATTTGCATCCAAAAATCAATCGTCTCCAGCTAAAATCAAACCCGTAACCTTTGACTTATGAGGCGAGCTATTTAACTTTGAGCCACCGAGCCGACAGATTGTTCATACGGAGCAGTTACGTGTCTTCCAAAATACATAACAATCTAAGAACATTTTCTTTTGGCATTTCAATCCTTTTCAACCTGCCACGGCCTGTTTAAATTTGGGAAATACTTCAACGCTGCATGAACTTAAACCAGTTGTTCTCAAACTTTCAATACTGGCGCCCACCTTTTCGATCACCATTTTTATCGCGCCCCCCTTATACATTAATAATGTACTGAATGCAATAATAATACACTTTGACGCTAAAGCTACAATAGACGATCTTAATTGTAAACCATACAAATTAGTAACATAAGTATTAAATTTTGTATACTACTTTTAAGCAAAAAAAATAATAAATAGATAAATAAAATAATAGAATATTTATTGTGTTAAATTTCCTTTCTCTAATTTTTAAATTGAAAATATTCCAAAATGGGGTAGCTGTTTAGAAGACAATAATATCTGCTAAATATAGAAAAATTACTCAGAAGGTCAATTTCTAATCATAAGCATTCCTTATAAAAACTTTGATTTGAAAGACAAGCCATTGGAAGTCGTTAATACTTATTAAACTTGTTCTTAATTTAGAATTAATTAATTAGTTTTAAAATACTCTGTGCAGCACTGATACATTAAAATTATACCGGATGAAGTGCCCGCTCTTTGCACTTATAAGAAAATAAAACATTATTGATATAATCGCTGAATTGTAAGGAGAGCAAAGCCAAGTGCTCAACAATGTTTACAAAAATTTAAAATGATATTTTTTAAAATGGTTGCTCAAACTATAGTTAGTTTTAAGCGAATTGTAATTTTAAGCCTCACAGAATTAGCATTAATAATTGATGTTAAACATTAGCGCACACACGAATTTTTCCAAGGGTGTGGGGGTCATCCTTTCTTATTTTGCTCGATTTTCCAATACATTCTGGTTGAGGCTTTTTCTGCTGATGCTTTACAAACCTTTGATTAGTTCAGTGCTTCTGAAACTTTCAATGTTTGCGACCCAATATTCAATCAGAATTATCATCAAGCCTCCCTCCAATATAATAACAATGATTGAATCCAGTAATACTTTACGTTGGCGCTAAAGCTACAATACAACTTTAAGATTTTAAATGCCACCGGTGTATATAAACGTTTCGCTCAGCCAATGAGTTAACTACCCCAAATGTATATAGACGTCTTTTGATCTTTTTGAACGCTGCTTTCCGTAAAGTAATTCCGAAGGCATTGGAATACAATACAATGACTTTAACTGTGTTTACGAAGGATTAACTTATTCCAGAACATTTGCTTATTTAATACATTGCGCAGAACATTTGCTTATCAAATACATTGCGCAGTAATGATATATTTATAAGTGTATTATATCAGTGTAAATGTGTATTTTTTTATTACTTCAGAAAGTATTTTGCTTACTTCCTGTAAATTATAATTTTTTTATTTTAATCATCTTCTGTTTTCGACTTTTCAAAATGCTCCCGCCCCAAAGTTTGAGAAACGCTGGATTTGTAAGATTCTGATTATACAGGACATGACAAAGAAAGCAAATTGTATTTAAATTCATTTTATTTTCTTATTAAATAATTCATAAGAAAACTTTTCCTCACACATAAAAATACTATGATTAAAAGATAAAATTTGCAACTGGATAACATATATTTACTTTCCGGTAATATAATATAGAATATATTTTGCGAGAATCTCAAAAACTTAAGAAAACAAAAAGTAGATACTATTTTAAAATCAAATATTCAGTTTTCAAAACTTAAATCCCACAGAAAGGGAAAAAAGCGGTTCAGAAGCAGGAATTGTAGCTACAAACACAACAGTCAATTCGATAACTAGCACCTTTTGCCCATACTGCCACTTATTCAAACATTAATTAATGAAGGAGGTTTGAAAGCGTTCCATCTTGACGCTTTTGTAATTGTCGAATTAATTGTGTCTACTGTCCTGTGTAATGTATCATCCTCTAAGGATTTTTTGCTCATTTCATTCTGTTTAGATCTAATTTTCTTACAAACTTCAACGTTTTTCTTTATCAATGCTCAAACACCACGCTTGATGATGTGGCTGCATTTTGCAAATTATGCAGAAACCCGATTCCATAACTACTTGATCATCCTGAAGGACAACTTGATTAAGTATATTTTATTATTTTTTTTTCTCTCAAGATTGCTAATTACTTTTTTAAAATTGCTTTCAAATGCTATTCATACCATAGAACTAAAATCATCGAATGTCAATTAAAATTAAATAATATAAATTTATACTTCTATTAGCAAAACAATGTGTAAAATACAAGTCTATGTTGCATTCCCCTGTGTTCTAGAAAAAAAGTGTGTGTGTGTGTGTACTTTTTGAATTATTTTTTAAAATATTCAGCTAGCTTACGATACTAAATTCTTTATCATTAAAGAAACATATTTATAATGATAAATAATTATTTTGACACACCAACTTCATATCTATTTTTTGAGTATTATGTTAACACATTTATTAAAGGTAGTTGGAAATCTCAGTCTCTATATATAGGCAATGTTAAATTGCCTGTTTTTGATGCTTCTTTTCTCAAAATCTATTACATGTGCATGCTTCTAATTTTTCATACAAATAAAGAACACCTTTATAATTATACTAAAATGAGCTTTTAACTTATTTGGAGTTTTTAATAATTTATGAGAAATATTTTATCAAACATTGCGAATTTTGACCCATTTTTCACATAAAAAAAATTAAAAAAATAATCTTTTAAGTATTTTACAAAAGGACTCATTTCAGTACATATGGTACATCATTATAAGTATATCATGAAAAATTTACATAACTGTGAGCAGTAGTTTCTGAGAAAAGGTACATGGAACATCAAAATTTAACTTTTGAGATAAATTGATTTTAATGTGTATAAAGTGATACATCTAATCTGCTAGAAAATATATAAATAAAAGGCTAAATTTGCAATAAAAGATACATGTTTTGGTTTACATCAGACGTGAAACTTTTTACCAAGGACGAAGTACTTTGTTTACATTTTTCGCCATTCAAATGGGCGTGGCCTAGTTTCAAAGATTATTTAAAAATAGGGCTTCTAATTACCAAGAGGTTAAAGTAAGGTGTTTTTAGAAAGGTTAAAATCTATACAATTCGAAAATGCAAAAATCCCAACTTGTCAAAAAGAATAAGATTTTAGCTTTCTAACACTACTTAATGTATATTTTTAACTAAAGAAGTAAAAGGAGAAAAAAAATTTAAATCATAATCGTTTCGTTTAGGGTGGCCGAATGGTTATGGCATCGGACTAATGCACCGTTTGAAAAATGCGGACACTCCTTGGTTTCAATTCATGTGGTATTGGATTATTGCTTCAGTAATTATCCATCTACAATAATTCACAGTTAATTAGCTACAATTCATACAAAAGAAAGAACATAGTAAAAAAAATGTCATTAGAATGTGACTTATCTCAAAGATAATATTAGACCGAATCACGCATCGGCAATTGCAGAAGCCAGGAGAAGATTTCAAACATTAGATCTTCCTCCATTGCAGCTTTGTCAGAAAGGTCGTTTCGAATCCAAGGAGTGGCCGCATTTGCAAAGGTGGTAGTTATCCGATTGACTGCTGTGTTTGTAGGTTCGATTCCTGCTCCTGAACAGCGTTTTTCTCTGTTTTAAGAAAATAAATTTTTTAATAGATTTTACAAGTTATTAATTACTAGAAAAGCATTTTACCTTCAAATGTGTTTATATTTATAAGGAGATACTAGGGAATATATAGCGTTTCATTCTATTGTTAAAGTAAAATATATTTTATTCAAATCACATAAATATTAGGTTAAGAAATGTAATATTTTTCTACATGTTATAAAATCCTTGAAAAAAGGATTTTATTGTGAAAAATATTTATTATATATCTTCAGTTCTTTATATTATTTATTAAGCAATACATAGATATTTTAAATTTCCCTATTTTGGATAAAATTTTACAAAAAATATTTACTTGAGGAAAAAAAAATTTATCAGTGTGAACACGCGTTAGAAGTTAACTTCTTTGGCTTATATGTATTGAATTGTATAATAAAGTTTTATTATTTGAAGTAACGTTATATATAATTTACAAATTTATTATCATCATTATTATTTCAAATTGTATTTTAAAAAAAATAATTATGATGGAAAAGGTATAAGTATAGACAAAAGTTTCATTTTCAATGCATAATACTAAAAAAAAATTGACTGTATGTATTGGTGTAATTGGTGTATGTATTTTGAGAAAATTATCATCATTATTGGTCAATTTCCATTATGCTTATGGGTGCTTCAGTACATACTTTTGTTATAAAAGGTTTGTGGTAACTAAAGTAAGAAATGTAGGTTTAGCACTCAATATCGCTGAAGTATCTCGAAAAGACTGCATCAATCGTAGTATTTGATTTTGTTGTTGATATTATTCTGTTGTTTTGTAGAGATAAGGTGAAATTGTCTTTTAAAAATTCAACAAATTGTAGAGATTTGTCTAAAGCAAAATTGACATTAAAATCTACACTTAAAATCATAGGTATTTTATCATAATTTTTATGAAGTAAAGCAGAACCTCTTGATGTATATGGTAATAATGATCGATGAAGGAACTAGATAATGTTATCCAACTTTTTGTTCGGAGTAATATATACTGCTACAATTATAATTTTTTGTCCATTATCTATTTCGCATTCAGCCAAGCCCGAATCCCCCACTGAAGATTGTATTGTACCATAAATATCGGATTGACTGATAGAACATTCCATGGATGGAGTTAACAGCATCGCTAGAATTTTGGTGTATCACAACTCCTCGTGCTCTCGTATTTGGTCGTTTATTCTTTACAATGCAATTGAAATTTGGAATAGATATATCACTTTCATTGTCCAGACAAGTTTCTGATAAAACTAAAATATTTGAATTTCTTATTACTGAATCTTGTAAGTCTACAGCGTCAGCTGTAAAACTTTGGCAATTTAAAGTAAAAATTAATACACCTTGTATGTTCGTTATGAAATTAATCAAATCTTCATTGATAGTTTGTAGTTTGTTCAATGAAAGTCGTTTAACTATATATGATTTAAAAACTCACTTCTTAAACTGGATTTAGAAATTCCATTCGATTGTAAATTTAGTAAACACAATCTTTTATTGCCAAACTATTGGAAGAAATGTTGTGTTGGCACTAAATTTTAAAACAATAGATTGTTTGTATTATTTCCTTAAAAGAACTTTAAAACTGTATATCCAACAAACTCACCTTTAACTAATTTTTGACAGATTTTAAACCATTTAAATGCCTACTTCGGGTAGATTAAAGACTCACTTCCGATTTTTATTTAATTCATAAAATAGATTATATTTTGACTTCTAGGTAACGTAAAACAAAACAAAGTATGTATCGCAAAGCTAAAAGAGGAAAGCCTTGTTAAAGCTGCTGTTGAATGAGGAGAGGGGGTGGTTAGCTCAGGGCTAATAGACGAAAAATACAAAAAAATTTTAAAAGCCGTAATTTTTAATCTATTTTTTTAATCTTTTAATTAAAATTTTGAGCACATTTTGAAAAATCGCAAAAAAAAAAAGATTTCGTCATATTTTTAATTTTTATAACTGATTCTAAAAGAGAAAAGCATGAACTTGTTTAGAATAAAATATCAATTCATTATCTCGAAAGGAAACTTAAAGGGAATTATTTAGATTAAAAAATATACCATATCGCGTGGCGAAAAGAGTGATCTTTCCGATTCTGTAATTATTTTTGTCTGAGATATATAGTATGAATTAGATGGCGTTTCTTAAAACGAGGGAAAAATTCGGAACTTCATTCATTTCTACTATACATTCATCGCTAACCGTAACTGGTAACGCGTAACGGAAATTTCTCCCTACCGTGTTATAAGAAGTTAACTTCAAAACTACAAAACTCTACAAAAGAAGTTTTAACAATTTTTAATTTTTATGGGTTTCTCAATGAGCTGAGATAAGGTTTTCCTGCTTGAAATTTAAGGAGAAAATAATAAATTAATTATATTTTTTTGCTTCAAATGCTTATATTATAATTTTTATACTCCTGATTTAATACTTAAACTCTTATACAAAGAAAAAATACAATACATATAAGTCAATGGATATATTTCAAAATATTTAAGAATACTAATATATTTCAGTTGGTTACTTGAAATGCAGGAAGAAGATTTGTCTGGTAGTTACTCCCAAAATATATGAAAAATACTCGCTTATACATTCTAATCTATCTCGGATCAAAGGAATCGAGTACGAACTTCAAAAGAAGAGGGACCAGAAACTCTCCAAATTTGCCCTTGTCACCTCAACATGGTTCAAAATTACAAAAGGGGGCTGCGACAGCCCTGTGGTCAAAGTATCGAATCATGACCGGCATGTCATGAGTTTGAGCCCAGTACCACTAAAGACCCGTCGTGTAGGGACGCCAAGCACGTTAAATCTGTCCAGAGCTCAACGGTCCTCCCAATGGTGTGATGTGGTAGCTAGGAGAGGGGTGTCAGCTCAGTTGCCGTCCTGGTCACTTGATTTTGGTTCAAAAGTACGAGGTCCATCACCAAAAGCCCTTGTGTAGCTGAACAGTGCGACGTGAATATTCACCTACTCATTCACACACTCAATCAAAATTATAAGATATATCCCTAATATCATTCGTGTTCTATCCGAGGTCAACATGTATGTATTTTGTTTTACTATGTGAGCTCTTCTTTTTAATGTGTTTTTATTTGTGGAAATCTTTTTAAAATCTTAGAAATTTACATCATATTTTCAAACTGGAGATTACAGTATAAATAATTATATATATATATAAAAAAGCGTTTCATCATTTTTTACTTACTTTTCTTCCGTATTATTCATTTCACATTTTTTCCCCACGAATATACATTTATTTTCCAATGCATTTTAAATTTTCTTCTTTCATAAGTATTAAGCAAGGTTTTTGTTGAAAGAAAATGTCAGTCATTCTACTAATTTTACGAAGTAACATCAAAGTTTTTTTAAAAAATTTTATGTAACTTGTTCTTAGAATACTTACAAAGAGTATGAAAGATTAAAAAAAGTGTATTTGTGATCCTAAATTTTAACTTTATTATTTTTCGGTGTGAATGAAAAACAGCAATTTTCCAGTTAATTTATTATAGTGACTTTTTTCACTCCAAACTAAAGTTAAAAATTTTAGAGATTCGACATTAAAATATGACCAAGATTTAATTTCTAGTATTTTACATAAGTGTCATAGTCTAAAGAATTTCAAGTTCTAATTTTCATTCTCATTTTGGTGTACAGTCCTGCACATACACTTTCGCAATAATTCACAGTTGTATAAACTGAAATTTTGAAGTGTACTTTTCAAGCCACGAAGTTCGATGCAAATGGGGCAATACTCTGGATCCGGTACGCCCTTTTAGTAAAGACGACCGTGAAAAAAATCTAAAGCATCGATGTTCAACCTGCGGCCCATCGAGCCTTTTTTAAGTGGCCTGGTGATGCTCCATTGCTCTGAGAAATTTACTTATTAAGAACATTGTATTAAAAATTTGACTGGGATTGCTTTGTCAAGAAATCAAATATATTATTTTTGCCTTTTCTGCCTTTTCGTGCGGGTATGAATTAAGGTATCCGACTACTTGCGACAACTTTTTTTCGAAAAAAAGGAGATATGGAGATCTTTTTGTGATTTTTATATTTATTTAGCCCCCTCAAGTCCTGCAGGCCGCCTCAAAGTGGCGAGGGGGTGTACCTGGGCGGAGTGGGCGATGTACGTCGGGAGTATCTACTCCTGGTAGGGCCACCCAAGGCGTGAAGGCCACTCCATTTTGCTCAGCTAAGGCCTGTAGGTGAAGGAGCGAAATCAGTCCCCTACCTTCGGGTGCTCCAGGTCTTCGTACTTCAGGGGCTGTACCACATTTCCTTTTTTTTCATGAGCTTCTCGTCTTCTTTGGAACATGCTGCATCACTCGTCACGCAGAATAATCAGGAGTGCGCTGAGGGTTTAGGCAGAGGGCCCTCTTCGAAAAATTTGCAACGGTCTCCAGCTAAATATCGGTCTCTTAAAATCATACACTGCAATATAAATGGAATATCAACTTATGCTTCAAGGATTAAACTTGACGCTATCTTGGACATCGCTGAATCTCTGGAGGTTCAAATTATTGCTCTTCAGGAGACTAAATTGAAAGAACATGCTAAGCTTAAAATTAAGGGCTACAACATAATTCGTTCTGATAGACAAGAAGGCGGAGGTGGTGGCCTGGCTTTTCTTTTAAGGGATATCAACTATCGTACTATTGATAATCCACAATTTACTGATTCGAAATTGGAAATCCAACGCTTAAATGTCATTTGGAAGGGGAAAAATCTTAACATCTCTAACATGTATCATCCTCCCAATCAAAAAAGTCTGCCTGATAATCTGCTTGACATATCTGAATCAAATCTACTTGTTGGTGACCTGAACGCTAAACATAGTTCATGGGGCAGCGTAATTAATAATAAGAGAGGTAGAACTGCATAACCTTATGGATGACAGTGCTCATCTTGCTCTAAACGACGGCTCCCCTACTTACTCCTCTCACAGCTATCATACCGAGGAAGCCTTAGATGTGTCAATTGT